CCTCCTCCTCCTCCTCCTCCTCCTCCTCCTCCTCCTCCTCCTCCTCCTCCTCCTGAGTCACCCCTGAGGCGTCCGGCCCGGTCCTCGAGCACCGCGGGATCCACGTTGAAGGCCATCACCAGGGAGACCGCCTCGGGCGGGCCCCGGCCAGCGGGCCCTCCCCCAGCGGCGCGCCTCCTCCCCTGCTTGAGGGGCCGAGAGGCAGGGGACCCCCTCTGGCTACAGTCGGGGCAGATTGCGAAGAAGAGGAGGAGGAGAAGAGGAGGAGGCACACTGCCCCAGGAATGCAGACAGCATGGGTCGCGAAGCCTCCGTCCGTTTTGTTCCATGTGTATGATAGACCTCGGGGCCCGCGGTCGCCCCCTATCCTCGTTCCGGTGCTGGCTGGAATGGATTTGTGCCCTCTGCTTACGGGCAATCTCTGGCCATAAATCGCTAGAGGAGGCAAGAAGACGAGGAGGAAGGCGAGGAGGAGGAGCGGGAGGAGGAGGAGGAGGAGGAGGAGGAACTGCCTGGAACGGATGTGCGCCCGCTGCTTACAGGCAAGCTCCGGAAGACGAGGAGGAGGCCTAGACATCCAGCTGCGCCAGTTCTTGCGATGCGCGGACCCCGGAGGTCCAGACCACTTCCCCTGGGGCCAGCTCTCGTCCTCGGCCGTTTTTCGACGGCCACGAGGTCTGGCGAGGGCCCCCTGGAGGCCAAAATCTACCAACAACCGCCCGCCCCCAGTGTTTTGGAGCGTCGGACCTCTGGGAGCGTCGGGCCTCTCGCGCAAGTACCTGACAGACTGGTCGGGGGCAGACTCGCGCCCCCGGAGGCGTGCTCCTCTGGGCGGGGCGCGCTCGGCCCTCGGCGCGGAGGTGCCGAGAGCTGCGGGCGAGGATAGGCATCAAAAGCTGGCGTGCGCTTCCTGCTCCTCCTCCTCCTCCTCCTTTTCCGTCTCCTCCTCCTCCTCCTCACCACCACCATTCAAAAATAAGCGTCATGATAATTCGAACCTGAATGATTAAGCTGATACGACTAATCAGACGGATAACTTCAATAAGCATGCGAATACCAGCAACAAGAATAATCATCAAAAACAGGAATATCAATACAAACAATACAACACATACTAGTGATAAAAATACTGCGATACTAATGAGAGAAGTGTTAACAATAATGATGATGAAGATGATGATGATGATGATGCAAAAAAACTAATCATAATGGCCACACTGATAACAAACAATACAGTAGAGGCCCGACCACAAGAAACGTTCCACAAGAAAGCCAACCCTGAGACCCCAGGACATCCAGTAATTTTGATGTGGGAACCGCACGCTTTCCATGGCAAAACCATCGAAACCCAAGAAATCCAGGGAACCCTGGAGGCAAGCAGGGCGTTTCTTGGCATGGGCCCCCTGTAAATGATGAAAAGTGGTAACAACACTATAGTAACTATGATGGAATAAGAATACCAATGATAACGAGAATGCGAATGGTAATAATACTAGTAAGTAACGCTGCTAAAAAAAATGACAAAAATCAAACAACTGATAATAATGGTGATAAAAAGAAGAATGAGAATAACCATCATCATCATCATCATCAGCAGCAGCATCATCGTCATCGTCATCATAATCACCAACCTCATCATGGCATTATCATCAGCATCATCTGCAGCAGCAGCACAACAGCAGAAGCACAGCAGCAGCAGCATCATCATCGTCATAATCATCGTCGTCATCAGCATCAACAAAAGACGCATCATCAGCATCATCATCACCACCATCATCATGATCGTCATCATCAGCAGCAGCATAATGATCATCAGCATCATCATCATGAGCAGCATATTCGTAATCACTGTCATCATGATGATCACCATCATCATCGTCATCATCGTCGTCATCGTCGTCATCATCCCTATCGTCATCATCATAATCATCGTCAGCAGCAGCAGCATCATCAGCGGGAGCATAATCATCATCAGCATCATCTGCAGCAGCAGCATCATCATCATCGTCAGCATCATCGTCAGCATCCTCATCACCATCCTGATCATCATCATAACCATCACCAGCATCAGCATCATCATCAGCATCAGCATCATCAGCAGCAGCATCATCGTCATCAGCATCAGCATCATCATCGTCATCGTCATCACCGTCATCAGCATCATCGTCATCATAATAATCGTCATCATCGTCATCATCATCAGCAGCAGCATCATCATCAACATCAGCATCATCATCGTCGTCAGCAGCAGCATCAGCATCATTACCACCGTCATCAGGAGCAGAACAAGAATCATCAGCATCATCGTCACCACCAGCATCATCATCCTCATCATTGTCATCATCGTAATCATCGTCATCATCAGCATCGTCATCATCATCATCAACGGCAGCATCATCACCATCGTTGTCAGCATCAGCATAATCATCAGCATCACCATCATCAGAATCAGAATAATAATAATAATAGTAATAAACATCATCATCAGCATCATCATCATCATCATCGTCATCATCATCATCATCATCATCATCATCATCATCATCATCATAGTCGTCATCATCATCATCGTCATCATCATCAGCAGCAGCATCATCATTGTCATCATCGTCATCGTGGTCAGCAACATCAGCATCGTCATCATCATTGTCACCATCGTCATCAGCATTATCATCAGCAGCAGCATCATCATCGTCACCGACATCAGCAACAGCATCATTATGACATCCGAATCAGAATCAATATCGTCAGCATCATCACAATCATCATCACCATCATCATCATTAGTATTATCATCAGCATCAGTATCATCAGCATCATCGTCGTCAGCATCATCATCATAATCATCATCATCATCAGCATCATCATCGGCATCGGCATCAGCATCAGCATCAGCATCACCGTCGACAGAATCAGAATAAGGATAAAAACAATACTAATAATAATATTATTATTAGGCATCATCATCGTCGTCATCATCATCATTGTCATCATCGTCAGCATCGTCGTCATCATCAACATCTTCACATTCGCCATTATCAGAATCATCGGCATCGTTACTATCATCAACAGCAGCATCAGAATCTGCAGCAGCGGCATTATCATCAGCAGCAGAATCATCATCATTATCATTACAATCATCACCAACGTCAACGTCAACGTCATCATCATCATAATCAGCATCATCAGCAGCATCGTCATAACCATCGGCAACATCATCATCATCATCATCATCATCATCATCATCATCATAACCATAATGATCATCATCATCAAAAGCAGCATAATCATAACCAGCAGCATCATCATCGTCATGATCATCAGCATCAGCATCATCATTATCATCATTACCATCATCACCATCATCATCAGCATCATCATCTTCATCATCGGCTTCGTCATCGTCATCGTCATCAGTGTCATCAGCATCATCATCTTCATCGCCAATATCATAATAATCGGCATCGTCATCATCATCATCATTAACCGCATCATCAGCATCAGCAGCATTATCAACATCGTCATCACCATCACCATCATCAGATGACATTATCAGTAGCAGCAGCACCATCATCAGCAGCAGCATCATGGTCATAAGCATCAGCACCAGCATCAGCATCAGCAGCATCGACATCGTCGTCATCATGATCAGCATCATCACCAGCAGCAGCAGCATCGTCATCATCGTCAGCATCAGCATGCGCATCACCATGATCATCATCATCATCATCAGCATCATCATCATCATCATCATCGTCATCATCATCAGCATCATCATCATCGGCATCATCATCGTCATCATCAAAATAATCGTCATCATCGTCACCACCATTAACAGCATCAGCATCGTCAGCAGCATCAGCATCGTCATCATCATCACAATCATCATGATCATCATTACCAGTAGCAGCATCATCATCAGCACCATCATCATCATCATCATCAGCAGCAGCAGCAGTATCGTCATCAGCATCAGCATCATCATCAGCAGCAGCAACATCATCATCATCGTCATCATCGTCACCATGATGATGATCATCGTCATCATGATCATCAAGAGCAGCAGTATCATCATCGTCGTCATCATCATCCGCATTCGAAGCAGCAGCAGCATGAGCAGCAGCAGCGTAATCGTCATCGTCATCGGCATCAGCATCAGCATCATCCTTATCATCACCATGATCATCATCAGCATCATCATCATCGGCATCGTCATTGTCATTGTCATCATCGTCATCATCGTCATCATCATCATCATCGTCGTCATCGTCATCATCGTCATCGTCATTGTCATCATCACCATCATCATCAGCATCAGCATCAGCATCAGCATCAGCACCGTTATCGTCATCAGCATCATCAGCATCATGATCATCATCGTCATCATCGTCGTCATCGTCATCGTCATCGTCATCATCCATTCGCGCGTCCTGCCCCCCATCGAGCCGCCAAATCGGATCGGAGCGGAAACGATTCGGATCGCGCCCGCCTCGTCGCGGAATCGGCTCGTGTCGATTCGGGTCCGACCGCGGGCAGCCCGGGGAGGGCGAGGAGGGCTTCTTCTTCCTCCCTCCTCCCTCATCCCTTCCTCCTCTCCTGATCCCCCTCCACCTCCTCTTCCTCCTCCGTGCGCGGCGCGCTTGGAGCGAGCGCGCCGCGGAGAAGGGGCGGAGGGGGAGAAGGCGCGCGGCCAGCATGATGTCAGAGCCTCGGCCGCGGTCCTCGGCAGCTCCCGCGCCGAGGGCCCAGCGCCCCGCCAGGGCGCGCGAGCGGGGAGGGGGGGAGGAGGAGGAGGAGGAGGAGGAGGAGGAGGAGGAGGAGGAGGAGGAGGAGGAGGAGGAGGAGGAGGAGGTCGGAGGAGGAGGAGGAGGAGAGGAGGTGGAGGAGGAGGAGGAGGAGGAGGAGGGGGGGGGAGGAGGGGAGGAGGAAGGAGGAGGAGGAGAGGTCGCGCGGCGGCCGAGCGGCCGCAAAGCAGAGCTCCGACGGCCAGGGGAGGCCAGGCTCGTCGAACAGCCCCCGAGGAGAGGCTCGCGAGCCGTGCCCGAATCCGTTCGCGGCGGTGGCGCGCATCGGAGGGCACACGCTGCACCGCAGGCGGGGGAGCAGTACGTCAGATCGGTTCAGAGCAGCCGCGTCCGCCTCCGTGCAGGGGTGGGTCGTGCGAACGCGCCCGTGTGCCATGTGCTGTGGTGCCGCCTGCGGGCGGCATCCGCGAGTTCCAGATCTGCCACGTCGCTTCATCAAGAGGCCTGGTCGCCATGAGTGTGACCCCCTATACCATGTTCCGCTGGTTGGAGGACTCACCGGCGCGTGGGAGGGAAGATTGTGTATGCGCGTGTGTATGTGTATGTGTATGTGTCTGTGCATGTGCATGTGCATGTGCATGTGCATGTGTATGTGTATGTGTATGTGTATGTGTATGCGTATGCGTATGCGTATGTATATGTGTATGTGTATGTGTATGTGTATGTGTATGTGTATGTGTATGTGTATGTGTATGTGTATGTGTATGTGTATGTGTATGTGTATGTGTATGTGTATGTGTATGTGTATGTGTATGTGTATGTGTCTGTGTCTGTGTCTGTGTCTGTGTCTGTGTCTGTGTCTGTGTCTGTGTCTGTGTCTGTGTCTGTGTCTGTGTCTGTGTCTGTGTCTGTGTCTGTGTCTGTGTCTGTGTCTGTGTCTGTGTCTGTGTCTGTGTCTGTGTCTGTGTCTGTGTCTGTGTCTGTGTCTGTGTCTGTGTCTGTGTCTGTGTCTGTGTCTGTGTCTGTGGTCTGTGTCTGTGTCTGTGTCTGTGTCTGTGTCTGTGTCTGTGTCTGTGTCTGTGTCTGTGTCTGTGTCTGTGTCTGTGTCTGTGTCTGTGTCTGTGTCTGTGTCTGTGTCTGTGTCTGTGTCTGTGTCTGTGTCTGTGTCTGTGTCTGTGTCTGTGTCTGTGTCTGTGTCTGTGTCTGTGTCTGTGTCTGTGTCTGTGTCTGTGTCTGTGTCTGTGTCTGTGTCTGTGTCTGTGTCTGTGTGTCTGTGTCTGTGTCTGTGTCTGTGTCTGTGTCTGTGTCTGTGTCTGTGTCTGTGTCTGTGTCTGTGTCTGTGTCTGTGTCTGTGTCTATGCCTGTTTGTGCATTACATGTGCCATGCGTGCTCCTCCTCGACTGCGCGGCGCACCAGCGCGGAGGCGAAGCCCCATGAAGCCCCCGAGGGGACGAGGCGCCTCGCCGTTCTGCGCCAGCATCTTGTCCAGAGCCTGCGCCGAGGCGCACGGGCGGAATCAAAGGAGAGGCAACCGACGACGACGACGACGACGACGACGACGATGACGACGAAGACGACGGTGGCGACAGCGGCGGGGGCGGCGGCCGCGGCGGCGGCGGCGGCCGCGGCGGCGGCGGCGGCGGCGACGACGACGACGACAACGGCGGCGACCGACGACCGACGACGACCGACAACCGACGACGACGACGACAACGACGACGACGATGACGACAACGACGACGACGACGACAACGACGACGACGAAGACGACGATGACGACGACGACGATCGACGACCGACGACGATCGACGACGGACGACGACGACGACGACGACGACGACGACGACGACGACGACGACGACGACAACGAAAACGACGACGACGACGACGACGACGACGACGACGACGACGACGATGGCGGTTGCGGCGGCCGCGATGACGACGGCGGCGGCGGCGGCGACAGGGACGACGTCATCGCTGGGTCTGCGGAAGTTCCCTGGAGGCTTCCAGTCCCTGGGAGATGCCCAGAGATCCCGGGGAGTCTCCCGGGAGGCCCACGAGGCCCACGGTGCCAAAAAAACATGGATCATCAGATCCACTTGGCTCGTCTGCCAACAATGACTGGAGCCGTGGCAAAAATAATCCCTCGCTGGGCAAGCCTGGAGGGGAGAGGAGGGGGGAACGAGCGGGACGGCGGAGGGCCTGCGACTCTCCTCCTCCTCCTCCTCCTCCTCCTCCTCCTCCTCCTCCTCCTCCTCCTTCTTTCAAAATGTGGCTCTCGCCTCAGAGCCGCCCACCTGCGTCTTGACAGTTTGCGAAGGTTGTCCGATTCGGTTGGTTGAAATCCCCGGAATGCTGTCCTGGCACGGTCTAGGACTGTCAGGACGCAACAGTTACATTAATTCGCCGTGTTGAGGTCCCACGAATAGGCGTTCTGGCACGATTGGGGATTGCCAGGACGCAACGGTCACGTCGATTCGCGGCGCTGAATTTCCAGGAATGTGTATTGGCACGATGCAAGATTCTCAAGCTACTGTTTCCCAATGGGACAATTCCCGCAATGAAAACAATGTGTGGTGACATCTGAAGAGGAAAATTGGAGGGAGGGTTTCTTGCAACGTCGCTGGTGAAGTTTACACTGGTCCTCCTCCTCCTCCAACTCCTCCTCCTCCTCCTCCTCCTCCTCCTCCTCCTCCTCCTCCTTCTGCTCCTCCTCCTCCTCCCTCCTTTCGCCTCGCTCCTCCTTACTCATCCTCCTCCTCCTCCTCCTCCTCTTCCTTTCTCATACCCTCTCGCTCCCTCCTTCCTTTCTTCGTTCCCGCCTCCCTCCTTCCTCCCCCCCGTCCCTCCCTCCCTCCCACTCAACTTATTCCTCCACCTCCTCCTCGTCTTTCATCTTCTCCTTGATCCCTCCTCCCCCTTCTCATCCTGCCTGCGCACGCGACACTGGGCACGCAACATGGAAAGAGCAGGCGTGTGCAGTCCTCGGTCTGGGGCAGAGTTCGCGGGAAGCCGTCGAGGATGAAGCCGCCTGCGCAGTCAGGCTCCTTGATGCGATCGGAGATGATCCTTGAATGCGCAACGAAAGAAAATCCGCATAGCGACAGTCATGACAGAAGCAGTAGAGACACCATAGCGCATCAGAGCTCAAGGCGGTCGCCGCTGGGAGACCGGGCAGTGCGAGGCGCCACCAGGCAAGCCTGGAACACCACCGGAGACTGGAGATTGTCCGCGAGCGGGAGGCGAGCGATAGCATGAACGCGAGGGAGAGGGAGGAGGTGGGAGGGGAGGAGGGGATGGGTGCCAAGGGCACCGGAAAGGAAGGGACGCGAGGGGAGGCGAGGGGAAAGGGACGAGAGACCGGGGGCGTGGGGCTGGGGACGCGTATGGTAATTGGGATGGCCAGGACTGCGGGGCACATGGCGACTGCGTCCACGCAACAGAGGAGGCCAGAGAAGGCAGGCCTTTGCAGCGCGGCAGCCGCGGCCATGACACGAGGGCCTGCCCACGATGCGGCCCATGCTGGGCGCTCGGAGACTTTTTGTATGCGGCGACTCGCCCTGTCGCACCACCTTTTCCTCCACTTCCTCCTCCTCCTCCTCCTCTCCGCATCCTCCTCCTCCTCCTCCTCTCTCCTCCTCCTCCTCCTCCTCCTCCTCCTCCTCCTCCTCCTCCGTCCTCCTCCTCCTCGTCCTCCTCCGCCTCCTCCGCCTCCTCCTCCTCCTGCTCCTCCGCCTCCTCCTCCTCCTCCACTTCCTCCTCCGCCTCCTCCATTCCACGTCCATATGAATAACTTTTCCCTGTCGCACCCCGAGGCCAATTTTTAGGGCGGGCCGGGCGTTTCGCCAAAGACTTCCTCACAAATTGTAACCAAAAATCGCAAAGGCTTCGCAGATGGAGGGCGGGTGGTTTTCAAAATGTGGCTCTAGCCTGAGCGTCGCGCACATTCACTTTAAAAGATTTGCGAGAGTTTCACGGATTGAGGGCGACTGGCTTTCAAAATGTGGCTCTCGCCTTAGTGCCGCACATATTCGTTTTACAAATTTGCAAGGGTTTCACGGATTGAGGGCAGTCCCTTTTCGAAATGCGGCTCTCGCCTTAGCGCCGCGCACATTCGTTTAAAAACTTAGAAGGGTTTCACGGCACCCCTTGATCAACGTACCAGAGATTGTGCAAAGATTCAGGATTATACGGGTGCAACAGTTACGTTGATTCGCGGTGTGGTACTTTTCAGGCTCGTCAAGACAGAACAGTCAGGTTGATACGTGGCGTTGGAATCCCGAGAGCAATGTTTTGGCAGGCTTCAGAATCTTCAGACGGTTGTCTTCACACGAGGCACTTCCCTCAATTTGAGCCTATGAAGAGGGAGCTTGGGAGGGGTATTCCGACAGCGTGGATGACTCTTGGCTTTACACTGGTCCTCCTCCTCCTCCTCCTCCTTCGCCTCCTCCTCCTCCTCCTCCTCCTCCTCCTCCTCCTCCTCCGGCGTGGTGGCGCATCTCTTGCCAGCGCCCAGCCGCGCAGCTCGGCGGCGCGCCAACACAAAGAGATGCAACACCGCGTCGGCTCCCGATGACTATCTCGTCGGAGACCAGCCCGCCCGAGGCCATGATGTCCTTGGCCTTCTTTCCCACCTGGGGCGGTCAGGATGCACGTAAGGGCTCTCGTCTGCTCTTCCGCCCCTGACGTGCCTTCGGGGCCCCTTCCACTCCAGTCCCTCTTCCCCCTCCGCTGCCCTCTCGGCACAGCCTGGAGCTCCTCTCCAGCGTCCTGTATTCCTCCCTCTCCCTGCCCCCTCCCACCATGACTCCCACCTCAATCCCTCAGAATCCCCCAGGAAGAGAAGGAGGAGGAGGAGGAGGAGGACGAGGAGGAGGAGAAAGAGGAGGAGGAGGAGGAGGAGGAGCAGGAGGAGGAGGAGGGAGGGAGGGAGAGAAGGAGGGAGGGAGGGAGGAGGAGAAGGAGGAGGAGGAGGAGGAGGAGGAGGAAGAGGAGGAGGAGGAGGAGGAGGAGGAGGAGGGAGAGGGAAGGAGGACGGAGGGAGGAGGAGAGAGGACAAAGATTCTGAAAATTCTGGCGCATTTTAGACCTGGGACGATCTTATGACGATCTCGGGATGAAGAGATGTGCAGACGTCCACATGGATTGCTCATGGGACACGGCCGCGGACACGGACCGCATCGTGCACAGCGCTGGTGCCGCGGCGCGCAAGGCCGAAGCGCCCCGACGGAAGGCGGGCCCGCGCAGTCAAAGTTAAACATCCTGGCACGAAGGATTGGGGCCATGGGTCGACGACCCCGACAGGCACCCTGGGGGGCACCCTGGGGGGCGGGCGAAGACCTCGACTGAGCTCTCCGCCGCGCCCCGAGGAGGCCCGACGACGACAGCGTCCTGCTCCCCAGGCCACAACGGTGCCGATCGCAATCGGCACCCTGGCGTAACCACACGCTTTGTGGCCGCCGACTGCGGGAAACGGACAGGGACCGACCACAACGATGTTTAAAACGAAATGGCGTCTACAACGAACAACGACACGAGGCCCAACTACTAAAGCGAACGTGTAAAACGAAGCCAATACCAAGCGAAAACGAACGACAAAACTGGGCGTTTAAATAAACAACGAACAACGAAACGAAACAACAACGAAAAACGGAACGAAAAACAAAACAAGGGCCAAAACCAAGCTAAACTGCATTGCGGCCGGTCTTTGGAAACGGACCCTGAGGGTCCAGACTCCCAGGGCCATTCCTGGGCCGTCGTCGATTTTCGCGGGCGCCGTCGCAAACTTGCACGGGCTTGCTCGCGGAACACGGACGCACGGACACGGACCACATCGTGCACCGCGCGGGTGCCGCCTAAGAGGCCCTGCGGAAAACCAGGGGCCATCCAAATGGAACCCCAATAGACGGGGTCGGAGGAACGCGCCGCACCGTCCCTGCATCGCGTAAGCATTGGCGATGCTTCGGGCGGCGCATCGGCGATGCATCGGCGATGTGTCGCCGCAGTCGCCGTTGCGACAAATCGGGCTCCGCATCAAGCCGCATCGCCGATGCATGGGCGATTCGGCGCAAGCCTCCGACACCATTTGCTCGGATCCCATCTGGGAGGCCCAGGAAAAACAGCTCCCGAGGGCTGTTTGGCCCCCCGCTTCTGGGCTCCCCCAGGCCACTCCTGGGCCCAGGAGGCCGCGGAGGCCCTCCGAGGCCCTCAAGCAGGAGATCGGGGCGGAGACGGAGCTGGAGATGGGGGAGGGAGACGGGAATAGAGATGGAGACGGAGATGGGGATGGGAGCGGGAGATGGAAGTGAAGGTTGAGACGGAGATGGGAATGGGAGGAGGAGGTGGAGATGGAGGCGGAGGCGGGGATGGGGCGGGGCATGGGCATGGCGATGGGGAGGTGGAGGTCGAACCGGCGGGGGAGGTGGAGGGACCCCGCACGGGCGGGCCACTGGAGGAGAGGGGCGCGACGCCCCACCAGGGGCACAGCGCCGCGCGCGAGGCAAGGGGGCCGGCACGACGACGAGGCAGGCCACAAAGTTTTTTATCCGGCGCGCGCTGACCGAGCGTGGCGCAGCAGGAAGCCACGCACATAGCGCCGAGGCGCCGTGCCCAGGTCAGGCCACCTGCACCGAATTAGGGGGGGAGGGCCCCCACGACGCCGGCCAGCACAGGGGAGTGCGGGGCAGTGGGACCCCTCGAGGCCACTCCCTCTGGGCCCCAGCGGGGGGGCAGCCGACGACCGCTCGAACTGAGGAGCTGGGGCTTCTGGGGCCGGCCGCCCTCTCAGCCCCTCCTCCTCTCCTCTCTACAGTTGCACAATACGAATACTGTTTTTTCATCTCTCTCCCCTGGTGACGTCTGGGAAGTCTTCGGCCCCCTCCGCGCACTGGCTGTCTACACACCGGATTCCCGGGAAACTAGATTTCGCTTAGTTGTTGTTCCAAAATGCTGCTCTCGCTGAAGCGCTGGCCTCATTTTCGGGCTACCGCTCGTTCCGCATCGTGCTCCCGCAGCTGAAACGCTGGCTTCATTTCCGCGCTGCCGCTCGTTCCGAATCGTGCTCCCGCTGCAGCGATGGCATCATTGTTTCCAGCGCTATGCCACGGCATGGTTTTCGGTCCTTCCAAATAGGCCCCAAAATTTAGAAAATGGCCCCCGAAACAACCATTGGAAGTGATTACATCGGTGTCGATTCGTTTTGGGCCGCAGAAACCCCCCCACTTTGGGGCGTCGCCACGCCATGCTATGTCAGGCTACGCGTTGATCTTCAACACCATGCTATGCCATGTAATGCTATGCCCTGCTACGGCATCCGACTGCGCGAATAGAGAGGATATCTACGCCATGGTCTGGAATGGGAGGGAAGGGTAGGACGTCAGATATGACGCGAGCGCCCCTAGCTTGCCTCTCTCCTCTCTCCTCCCCTCCTCCTCCTCCTCCTCCTCCTCCTCCTCCTCCTCCTCCCTCCCTCCTGTCAGTGCAGTTGTTTTCAGCAAAGACCGCGCGGCAGTCCAACTGCGGGTGCGTCCCAGGGCCCTAGGACTAGGGCCAAAACAGCGGCGGGCAGCGTGCATGCCACAAAACAAGACAAGCGTGTACAACATACACACATGGTTGCACGGGCGGCAGAGGGGCAGGGGAGTGCACTCTTCACACTGGGTGGGTACAATGCTGCCCCGATGCCGCTCCCTCTGAAAGGGCAACGCTGCACGCAATTATAATGTATATCAGCCCACGGGCCGAAACACCTCAAGCAGATGCGGCCTGAGGCTCGAAATATAAATATGAATGTCTAGATTCACCAATCCAGACTGTCAACTCAAAGATATGCATGAGACACCTCAAGCAAGGTGCGGCCTGAGGCTCAATATTACTATATAAATCAAAAACAAACCTAATTAAGCAAAGAAAAATATCAAAACAGAATTATAAAGAAAAAAAAAAAACTTATATAATAAACAATAAAATAAACATAAATAAATAATAAAAAAATAAAAAAACTAAAAAACACCCAAATAACATATAACATAAATTAAGTAATAATAAAATAATATCACATAAAAATAAAAAAAAATACAAGAATATGAATTTCTGGATACACTACTCCAGACGATCAACTCAAAAGATATGCATACATCACCGTAGCCCTCACTAGGTCCATCAGCAGCTGCAATCAGGACCTCACGGGCTCGCAGGCCCTGGAACGGCGACCCGACGCTGGGCCTTCCGCTCCTTGGCTCGCTCACGCTGTCCGCGGCGCAGCCGCAGACGGTGTGCCTCCTCATCCTCTTGCTCAGCGGTAGGCACCATGCTGAACAGGCCGTGGCGGAGGAACTGCGATAGTACCTCGTTAGGCTGCACGGCTTTTGTCAACACATCCGCTAGCATGTGGCTATTAGGCAGCCACTTGAACTTGATGGCCTCCTGCTCTATCAAATCCTTGGCCGCCGGCAAGTCAATGAGGGTCTGCCGAGACACCGGCATCGACCCGATCTTGGACGTGTGATCGTAGAGCGACTTCGCATCCGTCACGAGCGCCCCTGGAACCTTCAGCGCCAGCCTCCAGTCCCCTTGCAAGGGCGGCTCCCCGTACAAGATTGCCTCAATCAGCAGCCTGAGGTAAAGCTGCCGATCCAAAGCCACGGACATAGCCGCAGATTCTGCGGCCATCGTAGATCCAACAACTCGTGTAATAGTACTGCTCTGAAACTCCACTAGACAGCATACGGTTAGCTCCTTCAAAACTCGGGTGTCCGTAATCATACTCATGAACCCCATTTGGCTCTTACAGCCGGGTTCCTTCGCAAACGAAGCGTCCATAAGCGTGAGCACCTGCAAGCGCTCGATGTCCACACGGCGGATCCGGAGAGTCGCAAGACCTCTCTTGTCGTAGTCCTGAAGCCGGTCGATGATGTCATGAGCACTCGCAGGTGCAGCAACCTCCGACCTTTCGGATCCTTCTGTGCGAGCGCCGAGACACTATACGCGAGTTGTGGCACCACGCGTGCGACAGGCCACCGCACCTTCTGGAGCAAGCTCCGGTAGTCGTGGTGCTCCTCGGGAGTCATCTCCCGATCCTCGTTGTCACCCCTTGCAAGGGGGTGCTTCGTCAGCTTGCCGATGTACTCGTGCATGCTGATCTCGATGTGATCAGGGTGGCGCCACCACTCCTCACCGAGATAGGCGATTGCCTCCTTGTCGTTGCCCTTCTTCCAGTGCTTGATGTTGAAACGACTGTTGATGTTCGCCTTCACCTCCTGGCACTGGGGATCGTGTGGGTCTCCAAACAGCATGCCGTCATCGACGTGCAAGGTCAACATAGCGATCAACTTGTCTTTCATTCGATAAACGAAGACAGCTCGAGCACAGCGCAGCTCCACGAAACCGACCTCGTCCGTCAACACCTGGCGGGCTCGGAGATGCCACAACCGAGGCGCCTCAGTCAGACCGTACGCCCCTTTCAGCAAGCGAAGCAACGCATAAGGCCGCACGGCTGGCCATCCAGCACCGTCGACGGCTGGAAGCCCGTCCTTAGGAGCCCTCGCATACAGCTCCCGTTCCAGCTTCAGCCCGGACAGGAACGCAGTCGCTACGTCGAAACATTCGAATGTCCAATCCATCGCCATTGTGATAG